AGAGAGAGAGAGAGAGGAGAGAGAGAGAGATCGGAACGTGTTAGGCAAAATTTTTTTAACGGGAGAATACTTATCGACGATTTGTAAAATTAACGCGATTAATAATCGTGGTTGAGAACTACGGTCAGTTTTGATGGTGACAATGGTATTGTCGCTGTTATTGGCGATCGTTTAATTAAAACGTCCCGACGAACTTATATGGTGGTAACGGTGTTATTACGGTGCCAAAACCCATCGTACGAGTGTTCGATTTATCGATCGATAAAAATACACGTGCGATCAAACTGTATTTCCGTATCAATTTATCGAGTAACGACTATGTTTCTATGTCGCGTTGTAAACAGTAGGTATTACGAAAAAGCTGTGTAAAATGAAAAAGGCGAATACGCGATCAACGGCAATGATTTCATGGATTTCGCTGCGCCCTCTATTTTATCTCTTTTCGATACGAATCCTCGATACAACGCCACCAGACACGCTGTTTTTCATTTAAATATTTTTATCGATAATTGAAATTAAATATGATCAATAAATATGCTACGTATTTATATACTATGCAATACTATGTAGTACATCCACATTCGTGTCCTCGATTACAGAGAATTAAAGAAATCCTTTTGTAATTTTATTTTTAATATCTCTAGCAGCCAGCTAAAGGGAAAGAGAAGAAGGTCGTTAACCGATAATCGTAAAATTTCTCGTTGTGGTTAGATAAGATCGAACGATATGTCGCACGGATGGTAAAAGAAAAAGAGGAAGGGGAGAAAAAGCGATCGAAAAGAAAAGGCCTAGGAACGCACATGAAATGTGCATACCAAGCGAACATGTAACGAACGAACGAACGAACGAAGGAACGAACGAAAGCAAGAAGTGAGAACAGAGTGGGGGGTTCGACGGTAGGGTGAAGAAAGGGAAAAGGGGGAAAACAACGGTGACGAGCAAGAGAAGTAGGTACAGCAGGTACGAGAAACTGGCGAGATTCCGACTTTATTGGCGCAAATGGCAATTATCTCGAGTAGGAGAAGTGTTCGAAGGAAAAAAAAAAAAAAATTTTAATATTTTCAACCGAGTTCCCAGTTATCGAGTAATTTTTGCAATTTCATCTTCTCCTCTTCTCTTCGATTCATTATAACGAATATTTTATACGTTTCGTCCATCCAATCGCATCGTTACAAAACTAACAAATTAAATTGGAAATCTTACGAGTATCGTGACACCATTTTACCGCGAGATCTACGTTCTCTCGTAAACGTGATTCCTCTATTCTTCTCTCCACCAAACACCGATTACTTTATCTTGAAAACCCCGAGCAAATAAACTCTCGTAATTGCTTCGTATGAACCGTATGAGATGATCTAAAGTAAAGAGAATATAAATCGTGCTTTGAATATCAATCGAATACGTTCGCAAATACGTTCGAATCGACGAAAGAAAGAAACAAAACTCTTTCAAAATTGGAAAAAAAAGGGAAAAAAACGTATATTCATCTTATTTAACTTTTAAATTAAATTAGGAGGATCGCGTTTCATCCATTTTTCATTTTTGATTATGTCGAGAAAGGTTAAGTGAAATTTATAAATATCTCGAGATATCGAAAGAAAAAAACAACGTCCTTTTTTCCCTTTTACGCCATCCATCAGAAAGGCTATTTTCGTCTATGATAATAATCCATCCACTCTTCCGACCAAGCAAAGCAGAGAGAAGCGTGTTGCATCATGTCGCACGATATGCATTTAAATTAAGCTCCGATATTAAAGCGCGACACGCAGGTTTCCTTCGCTAATTAAATCTATGTATACGTATAGATACGTTACAAAGTTCGGAGAGTGCAACTTAAGTTCCTGCTTTGTCGAGTAAAGGCGACGCGTGTTTAACGACACGTAAAGTGGTAGCGATGTTATCAATACTTCATCATTGATCAAAGAATAAAAGACTCGTTATGTCTAGAAAAAAATTTATATCGTATCGTGTCCCGTGCCAGAGAAACAAATGCACTCCGCGCGTCTTATTCCTCGTTTCCTCGAACATTTCAACTTCTTAAACGTTTTTATCTTAACGCTTAACGTTCACTTCAATCCGACAACTTTCATCTTTTCATCGATTCGTGTCGAAAATGCACAATGACACTTTTTGTGACACTGCGAAATCATTCCCCAATCGTTATTTCACGCTTACCGATTTAAACGGATCCTCTTTGTCACTTCGACGCGAACATAATTGCGTATTAATTTGTAACTTATATTCTATTCTGATGAAATTCACGCATAATCATTCGCGTATAATTCATTTAATTCAATCGCGTTCAAATCTTTTGTTCTATTTTTTATTATCTATCGCACAAGAACAATTTCTTATTCTTTTATCAACATCGTTTATCACCGGTCATTTCTCGCTAATATTTGCCTTTGAATGATTTTCTGTATATTTTCGAATTAAAGACAATTTTTGTCGTAACGAAATGCTTCTAACTTGGATCATTCGATATTCTGCGTAACAGAAAGGAAACGAAAGATCCAAAGGATCCAAAAGAAAGAAGAGAAGAAATACGCCATCCCCTAGATCGCATCGTGAATGCTAAAATTAAACGAAACATGTACAAATGTGTAGTACAACAGGGCCAGTTTTTTCGATAACCGACCAACGTTGATAAACGCATATTTCGGGCCATTAGGTTTCGTAGAAATTTCTTTCTTATCGTCGTATTCCGTTCGTCGTATTTATCTAACGCGAATGTGTTAAGAAATTCAAATATCTCTTCCAATTTTGTCCAAGGATTTACAATTGATCATAACTTACAAATAACAAAGTTGTTAAAGAAAATAGAATGCTAATTTTATAAATTTTTCTTAAAAAAGCAATTATTCTTTAGATATATAAAATTTCATATAAATTCGTTTATAAATCTATATTTTTCTGCATCACGCTCTTACATGTATGTATATATGTATATATAAATATATATATATATATATAAGAAAAAATATTCATCTTCCACGTGCCAATTTACTTCAGAAAAAATAATCGAATAAGATTTAACAAAGATTAATAAAGATTAATTCTCATAATTGATGACAAATCATGGAAATCATTCTAATTAAAAATTAAACGCAAAGGTTAATAGACTTTCAAACTCGTAATTTCTATTATCTTATTCATAGCAAATCACATTTACTTGTGAAAATTTATGATTGTTGTTGCTTGATTCGGTGAAAAATTTTTGCATTCAACAATTCCGAATATTTTGATTATTTCTTATTTTGAACGATATTCTTTGTAAAATTTATGTATAATAATTTCAAAGATACTACTTGTATATACTTATATATACAATTGTTCTCAGACGAAGTGCAACATTTTAAATCGTATTATGTATAAAATGGAATGGCCATGACTTTTGAAATTGAACGCATTAAGACGTAAAGAATAAGAATCAAAGAAAATTATTTACCTTTAAAATTACGAAATCCATGTTTCAGAGGACCGGAGTTGATGGTGAAACACGAGTTGATTATGTTTTACGATGAAAAACTGATGGCAGATATTAACGTCGAAGTTAAGATTAATTAAAACGTGTTTAGTTTCAATCGCGTGTTACTGTGGTACGAGAAACTCGAAGAAAGAAGCGAAGGATATCGAACGAAAGCAATTACGCTGGCAAACCTTCCACTCGACATTTCTTTCCACTTGTTCGAAACGACGAAGACTTGGCGGTCACACACGACACGAGGCGGTTAGATCGTCCTCACTCCAATGATCCAGCATCGTTGCTGCACGCCTCATTGCGGTTTCACGGCACAAAAGCGAACAGAGCGGTTACTCGTTTCGAACGCAACTTTCGCATTTACTCGTTGACAAAGAGACTCTCCGGAACTCACAACTGGACGCGAGAAAAAAAAGGAAGAGAGGCGAGGAGAGGTAAAGCGAGACGAGACGAGACGCGGCACGACGAGGCAAGGCAAGGCAAGGCAAGGCAAGGCGAGGCGAGGTGAAAGAAGGTAAACGGCGCAACCCCGGGAACACGCGAGAAAAATATTCAGCCAACACGCGTGCCGGCTCGACGTCGACTGAACACAACGCCAGTCGCGCGCTACGAGTGGGAGGTGTGTCTCGCGTGTGCGACAGAACGAGATCGAGCTATATTATCGCGACGGAGAAGGGATGAAGAAAGCGTAAGAGAGAGAAAGAATAGTTTTCATCGCGTTAGATCGAGACAGGCAAAAGGATGAGCGACCGACCGTCGGAAACCATAGTCACACTGGTTGCAACTGTTAGAGGGAGTTGAGCGGCTTGCAGAGGAGAGGAGTGGAGTAGAGTGGTGTGGAACAGAGCGTAACGAAATGGAGCTGAGAGGAAAGGAGAGAAATGGTTCAAGAGAAACAGACGCGACGGGATTGAACGGAACGGAATGGAATGGAATGGAACGAGATGCCTCGATTCGTGGAGACGATCGAATGACACAAAACTAAAAGAGAGTTACATTACAAATGCTGATTATCCAAAACTACCGGTTGCAACGCTTGCAATGCGATAACACAAGTGATACATTCTCTTACAACCTATTGTTTGATTCACATTTTGTATAATGATACGTTTCTATCCGTATACGTACATTTCATGCATTTTCAAATATACGTATGTAAATATAGATCTCTTTTCTTTTCACCTATATATATTTCTTTATATATCTAAATAACTTTTATCAATTTATTTATTTATCATACGATTAAACGTTGAAAATATATATTTTATAATTTTAATCCTTTTTTTCCCACATTTCTCGCACGATCTTGTCGCACTTTAATTAATCGCAAATTTGCGCATAGTTTTGCACATAAACGCGATCAATCGTGAAAATAAATAATACGTCATAAGTGCTTGTGAAGGGTGATCAAATAGAAAAATTCATAATCACGATCTTAACAAGAAAAGTTGTATAAAAAGCGACTGAAAAGTTGCCAAGCCCGCCGTCTCGTTTGTAATCCCAACTCTCCAACCCTTCCTCACCGCACTGCTCTCTAGAAGCCCACTCATAATTACCAAAGTTAATTTGCGAATCGCAATTTAATTGGCCAGTTCTTGAAGGTTCTTTAAACTTTGTCTTCTACGGAGTAGGGTCTTTTTTTATGAGAGGCTCGATATGCTTTTCTAAAAATAATGCGTTGAACGGATAATCAATTATTTCGATTCGTATCGATCGAATAAAATAATATAATAGCACGCATATAAGACGCACAATAAGAAAAACTATTTTCTAAAAAAAAAAAAAAAAGAAATTTGAAAAAATAATCATACCAAACAAATTGCGTAGATAGATCACGCAAATATCACGATATTTATTATCGAAAGATTTATATCTTCCTATTATTTTATACAAGACATGTATATAGATATACATATATATTCATTCGTTTTCTTCCATCTTAATTCTTGCAAAGAAGAACACCAATGTTTCGAAAGAGGATATCCTCGATTCATTATCGAACAATCACGAACGAACGTTCACGGATATGTGTACGAGAATACATAATTAAAGCAGGAGTAAAGAAAAGAGAAAGATATTAGTTTCCTGAGATTTTACCGCTATCTGCCCTAGCTGAAATTAAAGAAAAAAGATTCTGCGTGACGGCGAGCTTTTTAATTAGACGGTCTGTGATCTGCCAAACATTTTTCCTTTTTCTTTTCATCCTTTCTTCTTCACTTTTTTTTCTTTCTCCTTTGCGTCTTTCACACTTTCCGTTCGTCTCTTTTATTTTCATTCTTTTGATCGCTATCCGATCACGCAATTTAAATCATTTACATATTTCAAAGACAAAGAGCACTTTTTCGATTCGTAAAAATAAAATAAAGTGAGTTTTCTTTTTTTTTTTTTTTTTTCAAAATTCGATCGCACAAACTGTGCAACGAAATTATATATCTTTTCTTTGACGAAAAGTGTACGAATTACGATCTGAATTACGATCTCTTTTTTCTTCTTTTTCCTTTTTCGAAAAGGATCGATAATATTGCATTTATTTGATTATTTGATAAATTAATAATTAAATTGATTGATAAACAAAGGCACGATATAATAGCATCGAAAATATTAATAATTCAAACATTTTATTTAAAATCTGAGAAACGTATCGTTTTCCATTGAAGTCGTACACAAATGTGTAAAGGGGAAAGAGATTGTGAGAGAAGAAGGAGAGGAAGAATCAGTGTTCATCGGCGGGAATTCAGAACGTGCAAAAGAGCGAATGTATGAGCATGTTTGTAGAATGTAGTATATACACACGAGGGATGATTCATACACATACCTGCCATCTCAATGGATGTCGGGCCAGGAGAATAAATTAACGAGGTGTTTGTCCGGATGGGATCACCGCTCTTTTTTTTCCAAGCCGGTTTAAAATCATACTGTCTTTAATAATTACGTCGGCCGAATACATTAAATGAGACATGCGTCGCGACGCATTTACCTCTGTCGCTTTTTGATAATGTTATTTACAGCTTTGATTTATAATAGATCGTCACTGAACCTCGGCGAATTACTCTTTACATTGTATCATTTCACAACAAAAGATGCAAAAAAGATACAAAATATAACGTGTATTCTCGTAAACTTTATTCCTCACGTTATTGAAAATGAAAATTAAGAAATAATCACCGAAAAAAAAGAATGAAACTGTATATATTATAAAAAAATAATATATACAGTTTATATACTAGATTTAATAACTAATTGTTCAAAGGTTAAAAAAGATACATTCAAGAAATTTGTTAATAAAACGCTAACGTTTAATTTAAGCATATACATTTGAATAATAATAACTGCTGTGATAGATTTCTATATTTAACGAGAAAGATGATAACGTATCGTTGAGATTCAATATTTTCCTTTCAAGAATAGGAACAGTTACATAATATATAATAAATTTTCACTTATATGAGATTCCAAAAGATCCATTTCTTTAATCTTTTAGGGAAATATTTTATATGTATAGATATAAAGATCTAAATTACTGAAAAGATTATTACAAAATATTTGTTTAATTTACAATGTCATCTGTGGGTAAAAATTAAATAAAATGAGTTATATCATTGAGTTATATATTGATATTCAAAATGATAATTAGATTAGAAAGAATAAATATATCGTTTTTTATTTATATCAAAGATTATTATATAAGATTTCTATATTTGTGCAATAATATGTTTCAACATAATAATACTTACTTAAAAGAAAGAAATGATGAATTTCGCCAAAATTATTTTCTTTAATATTGAATAATTGAGAAACTGAATTTACAATTTTCTAATAATCCAATAAATTGGAAGAGAAAAAAACAAAAACTTTAATCAAACAGTATATATCTAAATTATAAGTTCATAGCACTTTCAAACAGTTCCAACATTCTTTTCATTTCTTTGCTAAAAGTTCAAAAAAAAAAAAAGGAAAAAACATTAATATGAATTACAAAAATGAAGTATAGGAATATATACGTGTAAGATTAAATATTCCGATACTTACATTTTTTCCGCTAATTTATATACAGGTCCCATTGATTTTGATAATTCTTCACATTTTGCCATTAATTGATACATCGATTTAATATTATGATCCACCGCGTCGCACGTTTTACAAACTGCATCCCTATACGTCTCTAAACAACCTACCGTGAGTGCGGAAGCCTAAAAATAATTTTAATTATAAAATTTTTTAAAAATTAATAAAAGAAAGATGAAAAATAATAAATTGTCACAAAAGATTACACTATGCAAAATAGCTGCCAAATTTTCTGTTAATGCATCAACAGATGTAGCCACTTTTCTCGCTTCCATTTCTAATTCATTTAACACATTATGATCAAGAAGAGGCACCTGAGGGGTTAGGGCTTGCCTATATAAACAAGGTGTAGAACTTCGAGAACCAGGAAATGATGGAGTTTCTCCTTTTTTTGTCACGGGACTGGACAATTTAATTTTGTTTTCTAAATCTTCTGCAACAAATAATACCATATCGCCATCTTGCATCACTGTTCCCTCAAGTTGCAAATATCCCATGGCTTTATGATAACTTGGAGGATCTATATCTTCATCCTCAACTGGACTAGATTCTCTATTTCTTAAATTCAATTGATCTGGTCTAGTACCAATTCCATTCATTTTATCTAAACTTTCTTCCAAAAACTTTTTTCCATCAATATCCGGAGAATCGATTAACGATCTTAATTCAGAAACCGGTGGTGATGATTGTGAATCGAATGATATTTCCGAATAGGAGGCTGTCATCTCGTGTAACTGAAATGATTATAATCAATCCTCTTAATATAATCCTTTGTAATTAATTGTATTTTGCAAATACAAATACTATCCTTATACACGATTTATTAAATCTAACCTTACTCTGTCTTCATCGTAATCGATAGTTGTATTTTTCTCGCTACGTATTGTCGTTCCTTGTTTTGGATATGTTTCCCCTTCTTCCGATTCCATATTTAACAAATAATTAATATTTTTCACGTTGCGTTTTTATTAAATGATAGAAAACTATTTTATTTCATTTGTATCACGATGATTAAACAAAACAGACACTGCAACAAACACTATTACAAATTCACAATTATTGATTCGTAAGGAGGATTTTCATCAGATTTCTAATATTATATATCCGCCTTAATATATCATGAATGTATACCACATATACTATATATACTATATATAGTTATAAATCTATAATTATTGAATTTTTGCTACAAGTCTTATTTCAATTGTTTTTATTAACACATTAAACTGATAATTATAGCTAAATAAGCTAATAAACAAATAAGTTTAGTGTATTTAAATATATGTATACGTAAACAATAAATAAAAATTTTAATCTATCTAACTTTTAATACATATTTATTTTTTTTAATTGATTCAATATTTTATATATATATATTTACATTTATTTTAAAAAATAGCAAAGTTAATTAGATACTTTAAATGCATAAATTGTTATTTTAAATACATAAATTTTACAGATCAAGTATAACATATAAATTAAAGCTCAGTCTTTAAGAAATTTTTTTTTGTTTAAATTAATTTTGTTTATTTTATTCTCTCTCGTTTAATAATAAAATTGTTACATGAAAATTGTACAATTTTCAAATGTTATATATGTCTATATATATTTAACTATAAAATTTGAAAAATCTTCAAGATAGAAAAGAAATATATATATATACGCATATACATATTCAGTTATAAGTCTATAGTTATACTTTTCCATGACATTATCCGTTGATATAAATTTATTAAATGAATTTTTTGGTTAGTTAGTTTTTGTAACTGTACATTATCTGTTGTTATTTATAAATAATGAACTTTTATATTGTTTATTAATAAAGTAGTAAATAATTTGAAAGAGATTTAGCAATATTTGAAATAATGTAATATGATGTATTACTTCATATTTATATTCTGTTCATCAATATTCGCCGATAATCGTGGTGAATTAAACACGGATTCATATAATGTATTAAAAAACATATAATTTTTATTAATTCGAATCTTTATGTTTCTCACAACAATAAGGAAATTGAATTAAAATTTACGTTACAATAGTAGTG